TGTTTCCCGTCCGTGCCGCGGGTGCGGCCGTGCGGCCTTCCCGGGCGGGCCTGGCCGGGCCCGCGCTCGGCCCTGAGCCGGGCAGAGCGGCACGGCGGCGGGCACGGGCTCAGGCTCGCCCCGAGGCCTGCAAGGGCCCAGCTGTGCCCGAAGCGCCTTCAGAAGAGTTGCGGAGAGCTCGGGGCTTGCCGTGGTCTGTCCCCGGCGCGGAGCGGGCCGGGCCCGTGGGCTGGGAGGGAATGGCCCGCTCCCCGCCGAAGTGCTGGGGTGTTCCGGGTGTTGGCGGGACGGAAACAGCAGTCACAGAATCGCAGGAGGGGGCAGATTGGAACGGACCACGGTGGTGTCCTGGTACAGCCTCCCTTGCTTAAGCAGGGTTATCCTAGAGACGCAGTCGCCAGGGTTTGCTCAGCCCTGGGTGATGATGAGGAACGTGGCTCAGGGGAGGCTGACGGAGATGCTCGTCTCTCCCTGTTCTGTTGAAATCATTTATCATTTCGCTGCTTTTGGCAAGTAGCTGGTGAAGCTCGGCCCCATATTTAGTTGCCACCAACAGATGTGACCACAAAGGTGCACACCAGATTGGCTGGCATCAAATTTGGGTATCTCAAGTGCACCTTGACAGGTGTGTCTAGATCCTAGCTAGAGGTATTTAATTTCCTTTAGGGTAGGGTTTATACTTGAAAAGGGAGCCCCCAGCTTTTTAAGACAACTAACTTAAAGCAAATTAGCCTTGCTAATTCATGTTCAAAAAGCTTGTTTGTTTGGATGTTTTAAATCTCACAATGAGAAAGTAGTGAAGTACTTTTATAATAGGCATGATGATACTCCGTGTTGAAAAATCCCATTTGAAAATTTTTGGGTATAAACCGAACAGTTTCTGAACCTGCTTCTTATGAAGCAGGTTCATGAATTGTTATATGGGCCTTACACTTAGGCTGTGAATTGGTACCTATAACAATTTAATTGATATGGGATAAACTGGTAAGGGGTTTTTCTATATGACTATATTAATTAAATGCGTTTAATGTTAAGAATTAGTACCAGAAATATTTCATATTGAATTATGAAAAGAAAATATTAAAATCTGTAGCTGTCTCCACAAGCAAGTCACTGTAGTTCAAATTGACTACTGCTTGTGACTGATGTTCCATTTGGAGATCATTTAATTTATGCTGAAATAAGAACAAGCTTGTTTAATTAACTGGTGTAAAAAATTGTTGTAGGAAGTACAATTACTGAAAGAAAAATCCAGGATCAGAGTAGGAAAGGAGTTTTCCCTTCATCTTTCAAGTAGTTCATCTAGGTCAAGACTATGGCATGTATGTGGCCCTGTGGGCAAGAAATTATGTCTGGGTTATGGATAAAAAAAGCGTGGTCTTAAGATGGTAAATACGGGGTACTTCTACAAAAAGTAAATGTGAGCACCAGTATGTATGTATTTATTTTTTTAAATTCAGAGAAAATGCACCACTTGGCTTGTCAAGCTTCTGTTAAAGTTCTTATTGAACTCTTACATATTAATTTTGTATCCTATATTAGGAAATATTTTTTGCTGTTATTTAAAACCATTGTATTTGGAGAGCTTTAGCTTTTAAAAACTCTTTTCTCCCAGAAAAGCGTTAATACCTATGGAAGGAGACAAATCCTAAGCAAGGGCCAGCTTTTGCAAAGCTTCCAAAGCTGCACAATTTGGAACATTCCCTAAATTGAAATGTGTAAGTTCCAGAATTTCAGCAGAGATACCAGGAGACTCTTGGGTTACATCTTCAATGTTGTCCTTAGAGAAAGGAAGCTGAGGTTAAAGGTAAGCTTGAATTGTTTCCCTGTGTCTAAGGTTGAACTTAATTTTATCTCTGTTTACTGCAGTTCTCCTGGAATGGAATTACTGAGATTTCATTACTTCAGTCAAAATTATTGCTTTATCTAGGATTAGGAAAAAAAAAAAAGGTTAAATATTATGATAAATGCTTGACCTTATGAAATAAAAATAAATGTATAATCTCTGTGTATTTTGGTGTTGTTTATTTTTTTAGCATGTTCAGCATTTTCCCAGAAGTCCTGTGAAGAATGTCTAAAAAATGTTTCGGTAAGATTTTTAACATCTTTTTTGATTGGTAAGAATTTCCACTTAATATGAAAAGAAATTGCTGGGCTTTCTTTGGCAGTTTGTTTCTTATTTAAGCAATAGAGTCAACCGATGTGTTGCTTCCCCTCTGTCTCACGTGGTGCCAGTGTGCTTTCACTTTGTCAGGGTTGCTCCATGCTTTGGTCACTCAGGGTGTTTTCTGTGCTTTGTCTGGAGAGGACAGACAGAATCCAGGTGTCCAATGTCAGTGTGTGCTCAGGGCTTTTATAGCTCAGCTGAGCAAGCTGATGTTGCTGCTGCCTCAGACTCATCCTCATTTTGAGGGTAGCACTTAGTTAAATGTCCATCTAATAAACTCAGTCAGTTAAAATGCCTTGCTTTTCTTCTGTTGTGCTAGGAAAACTGGGAAATGAATGTAAGTAAACTGGAAGTGCCTTTCTCTAAAGATGCCCCAAGAAGTGCCTGTAACTGAGGCAGAGTGTATGGGGTCCTTCCATTGACTACATCAGACTGTGTGTGCTTAAGACTGCCAGACTAAGCTGCTGTTGATAGCAAAGTGTTCAGATTTCTAGTGAGATTGCAGTAAGGCAGACATTTAAATGCTAGAGTTTGTTTCTCTGTTCTTTGCTGAAAACTTCTTTAGCTCTACAATAAGGATTGTGGTAAGTATGCAGAAAGCATCCTGGAGAACAGAAGTGAGAGATTATTTCAAATTCAAACTTCAGATGTCACTGAAAATAAACATTTCAGGAGTCTTAAAGTTGCATATAAGTTTCCACTACTGAAAAACCTTTTCACCAAGGAAGACTGAGAAATATCTGAATTTACTTGCTTGTCTTAAGCATATATTGGGAAGAATGTTAATTGAATTGTATTGATTGTGTATTGTTAGATTCTTTTATCATTGGGAATGAGTCAATTGAAATATTTTCTTGTACTTCAGCCTCTGCTCCAGCCAGTAGCTGTGTCACATAGTGCCTTTTGGGTTAGACACGTTTTCAGTAGGTAGATGCTGGATCTCCATCAGAGTGATACAGCTGGCCTTCCTGGGCTCCCAAGTGTCATCAACAGTGTACACTCATTCAGATTAGGAGAGACCTCATGGGCCACCTAATCCAGCTTCCGACATAAAACAGGGTCAACATTATATTCAGAGTTTAACAGTGACTTTTATTATGCCCCCTATTAGTTTTTATTTTTGAACTGTTAATTCTTATTAAATATTTGAACCAAGAAAGCACATTCTCATCTTACATTCATAATTGAAAGGGCACAGTTTTTGCAAAGTGAATTCTATTTTCTTAGGTTTTTTTGTTGATGTGTCCTTATGGATATGTTTAACTTGTACAGTCTAGCAACTGCAAAATAGTAATACATATTTCTTGTATCCACACTTTCCAAGAAAGCAGAATCTGCTACAGATGTTTTCCTTTGTATTTAACATTTTGTAATCCATTAAGAGCAAGATAACAGGCTTTGTGTAATTGAGGCTGTATGACAGGATATTCTTGATACTGCTAGATAAACCATAGTTCCTGGCCGAACTCTTTTTATAACAAATTCTAAAAAAACATGTTCTATCAAAGATTCCTATTGCTGTTATTCAAAACTATATCACTGTTTGAGTTGTGTGGTAAATGACTTCTGAATAAGTATTTATTTTAACAGATGAAAACCAAAACCTGAGCTTGATGCTTAGTGATGACTTTAAAAGCAGAAATGTTGTACTGGAATTTTAACTATAATACACATAAAACCTTTAAATTTTAAAAATATCCAGATATATAAGCATGTGCAATTAAGGTACACAGAGTACTTTGAAACTCAGACTGGATGAGGCTGTATCATTCATTACCTTGCAGCTAAGGCTTCTGTAGACTTATAAGGATTCTTTACTATTTTCTTTCTGTTGATAATTAAATGCAAGGGTGAAGTAAGAGTATAGGTGTATTTTTATTCCTTAAAGATACAAGGTGTTTTAAAATTCGGAACAGTTGTCAGTCTGATTTTGTATTTCTTATTTGTAAATTCCAGTAATTTTAAACCCAAAGCTATTTTGCACATTTCAAATATTCAGAGTACCTCAATATGTTCCCAGATCTTTTCAGGCTAGTGTTACTTGTAAGTACAAAATGTTCTTATGTTCTTATTCACCATTTAGTTTTACTGAGAAATTGCATGAGGACTTCTGTAGGCTTTATAAAACAAAGCACTTCCATTTCTCCAGTACTGCATTCACTTTAGAAATCTGTCTTTGGAGTGGTGCACTAAATTGTTAACTGTTTTTGAAGATTAATAATTTGGGGTTTTTCTTGTTTCTTCGCACAGTGCCTTTGGTGTTACACCAACAACACGTGTATTGATTACCCTGTAAGAAGTATTCTTCCACCGTCTTCATTGTGTTCTCTCTCAAATGCTCGATGGGGAGTTTGCTGGAGTAGGTACTAATTTTACTTTTGCTGTAGAGAATTATATTTATGAGTATGATTTAAATAAGGCAGCTTGCTGGAGCTGTTTCCTGATACTTTATTTGGAGGGGTGGGGCGAGGAAGCTGTGGTTGATTTGGAGCCGTAGCTCTAATCTTCTGAACTTAGAAACAGTCATTGCTAAAATTTCTGTGTGAACAGCCAGTGTAGGTGCGCTGATGCAATGGCTTTAAAACATTTTTACCTTCTTTAAAATTTTTGGAAGTGTTGGGTGATTTGTCTAGATCCACAGTTCTATTATATTCCAGTGGTGAACAACTGAAATAACAGTGTACCAAAGGTATAAGGTTTAAAAGGAACATGCACGGTACCACTGTAGGTTGTAATCCTGCATCATGTCATTGTTCTTCAATTCCCATTTGTTTTGCATGTTTTACTACAAAATACAGGACTGAGCATGTGCTGCCATCAGGGTGAAATATTTGGTGCTGGTTTTGTAATAATGTGTGTACAGATCTAAATTCAGACTAGACTGGAACAGAGAACACCTAAGGCATTGGAAAGCCTCGTGTATGAAACAAGAGTACAGCTTCAGTCCAGCAGAGCAAAGGCTTGCTGCTTTCTGTGTGTTTGTGCATGGACACCAGGAGGCTGAAGGACAAAAACAAGTAGGGGTGAACTATCAGTGGCTGTGTCGACTGAAGAAAGTTACCATGCTTCGAGCAGAGAGATTTTGCAGCAGTCTAAATTAGAGTAGCAGAGGTAGAAGATTGCTGTTAGAACAACAGAGTTGTTGCAGAGTGCCTAGATCAAAAAGTCCAGGTGAACTTTATTAGTTCTATATTCTTACAGAAGGGCTTTGTGCTTTGTTTTCTGAGAACAGGCATTTGTGCTTATACTTTTGTTGGAGTTTTTTAGGGTATGGTAAGACTATAGTTTCAGTGATAAAGCTCTCTTTTAAGAAAACTGAGCTCAGAGTGTTGTAGTAAAGGCTCTAACTATGAAATGTTTAGCAGACTTCTGAAAGTGTGGAGGGTTAACTCCTGCCAGTAGATGAGTACTCACACAGCTGCTTGTTTCCTTCTCCTCTCCCATGTCCCCGGTGGGATGGAGGAATAAAAAGGAACAAGAGCAGAAAACCTTCTTGACTGAAATAAAGACGGTTTAAAAAGGAAAGGAAAAAGAGGGAGAGGAAAAAACACAATTTATTTTACTATCCCCCCAACAGGCAGATTGATTCTCAGCCAGTCCCCAAACAATAAATTCCCATTGAGATTGCCTTTCCCCTTGAAAGCCAGTTACGCCCTCCACTTATCTTTCCTTTACCTCAGATTTTTTCACTGACCACAAGATTATATGGTGGCCAGTTTGGGTCAAGTGTTTTGTCAGCATCCCCTCCTGACCTCTCCCAGTCTCTTGCCTGTGTCCAGCCCTACTCACTGGGAGGAACAGAGGGAAGGGAGCAGGGTGGGAGGTAGGAAAATATTTTAATGCTCTTCAATCCTATTGAGCTACAGCAGAGACATTGGTGTGTTACCAGCATGTTTGAGCCAGAAATCCAAAACACAGCATCAAGTCAGCTGCTATGAAGTTAACGCTCTCAAACACATCAAGTAGAGAAATACATGTCCTTTTCTACTGATACTAAGCATGGTCTTGACAGTTTACTGCTGCTGTGGAAATGGCTTCTGTCTTGTGTGCCATTTGTGTTTCTAGATTAACTGTAGCTTAAGCACAGAATGAAAACTTCACAATGGAGCACATTCTCAGAAAAAAAAAATAAAGTAGAAAAAACCCCAAAACAAAACAACACCAACAACACCCTCAAATATGCATTTCCTTAATAGACTTTGTACAAATTACAGGCAGCAACATGCCATGGGGTTATATGGTCTTACTGAGACTGTCCCCTACAAACACAGCAGGAAATTTAATTAACTTGTGGAGGTGGTGGTGATGGTTTTTTTTTTCCCTTTGAGCAAATAAAATTAAGAGATGAATGTTGTTCACCATTGCTGAAAATGAAGGTGAATAGTGCAGCTTTCAAAGTCAAAAACAAATGACTGGCTTCCAGTTACAATTTAGTAAGAATAACATGTGCTGACAGATTATTAACCAGAGTGAAGAACAGTGTAATACAAAGTAGTTTAATTTTGTTGGGTATTTTCATGAATAGTAAGCAGATGAAATAGGTACAGGTGCCAGGAATGCAGATTGAAAACTGACAGTCTTTTTCTGCACTTTAATAGGGTCAAAAAACCTTTTGTGCTTCAATTAAATAGTATACTTTTGAAAAAAATAAATTTTCTTTAAAAGAGATTTTTCTAAAAATTTTTGCTTTACTGGATGAAATATATTTTATTGTTTGTAACTTGTAGGGAAGTAAGAGAATGAGAAATATGGTTTTACTTAATGTCTGTTCAGTGTATAGCAAAGTTTGAATGTGTTACACTGCATTTTATCTGGCGTGGCTGAGCAGAATCACGTGGAGGTTTTTACATATAGGGATGAAAAATATGTCTGGGAAAGAAAGGAAGAATTCTCAGAAAGATAAATGTTACTGATGGAGTCTAACAAGTTGAATATATTCATGTTTTTCAGTAAACTTTGAGGCTTTAATTATTGCCATGGCTGTGATAGCTGGACTCATTCTGGTGTCCATAACAGTCTGTTGCTGTTACTGCTGTTACTGCAGAAGGCGTTCCAGGAGGTAAACACATGTATTTGTTTTCTTTATTAACACTGTCTCCTGGTCTTCCCTATCTACCGACAATTTTTAATCTTCAGGATGCTAAGAATATTTTCATTTGGAAGCAGTTTTGTCACTTTATTAGTTTGTGAAAGAGAACAAGATATTTAGTAGCAGGTAGTATGACACTGGAAATGATGCTGGAGTGACAATGAAGTGATTTTTCTAGCGGTAACAGCACTGATGTGTCTGACTTCAGGTAAGCTATTGCTTTAATTAACATCTATGTTTTACACTTTCTTATTAACATTGGACATGAAATCTTTCAACAACCAGGCAAATCCTTGCTTCTTGTGATAATGGTATAAATAATTTCTTTCAAGGCAAGCTCATGGTACAGCAAAAAGGGACCAGGTGAGTAACAAGTAACTGGGCAGCAGTGTCCTATACAGCACTTGGTATCCATCTTTCAGAGTTGCTCTAGGATCTGCTAGTCTCTAAGCAGATCTAGCAGTCAGTGTCGAAGGGATTAGCTGTCTTTGCCAATTCAAAAATATATTCTAAATGTAAGATAATACCTCTTTGCTCTAAGATACTAAGAATCATTTACTTATTTTCAAGGCAAGTAATACTGCAAAATTAAATGTTCTTGAGATCTTGGAGAACTTGTGAAATTTTTTTTCAACTGGCTTCTCTAAGTAGCTGATATTATTAAACAGAAGGAAGTAGTTGATGAGTAGCTAAAATGTGTATCAGTGCTGCAATGCAAAGTGGCACAGCACAATATCTTGCATTTATCACTCAAGTTTTAAAGCTTTCTGGACAGGATAGTTTCAGCTAGCTCTGTTCTTTTTGTCCTTCAGTACTTCCCATATGAATAAAATGGAGACCTTATTTCTTGGTCTGAAATTATTTTTGTACTTTTTAAAGTACCTTTGGCTCGTTGTTCCTGTTTGAGATTTGGTTTTGTTTTTTTAAAAAGAACTTATATAACTGTACATTGTTTGGTGCTGATCTTAAAGCCAGAGAAATATGGTACATGTGTGGCTTTAAAGAAACGTGAAAATAATTGCAAATAACATCTCATTCCTTTCTCTCTTTCCTGAGGAATAAGCATGTACCTGTTTACCTGTTTTGTTGGTAGGTTGGTTTACCAAATCTGCCCTAGCACAAAAATGAATACTCTTTAGCCCTGTGCTGGTAAGCCCTGAAGATGAAAAGAACAGGTTTAGATCTTACATAAGATCTGCCAACATCCTCTGCAGAACAACTGAGTGGGCTCCTGTGGCTGACATGTCAGCAAATAAAGCTTGAATCCTGTAAAAAGAGATATTAGTGCTAGACTTCAATTTTAGTAGCAAAGTTGTCAATCAGTACTGTAACACCTAATTTTAAAAATAGAGGGTTAGTTTAGAGTTATCTTATGCCAAGACTCCAGAGGTGTCAAGCTTAATCTTGTGACCCTTATAGGATTTAAAGGTCTTGTCAATCTGGGGTCCAGCTTATTTCAGGAGGAGTCAGAAGGTGTTATTACGCTGAAGCCTTGTACATTATTGGCTTTAAGCCCACTGATTCTCAGCAGGAATTCTTTTGCTCTCTTCTTGTTTTTGGGGATTTACTTTCAACAAAAGAAACTTTTATTTTTTTCATGAATAGGAGGAAGGAAAAGTTGTGGAAATGACTAGATCTGTTTAACTGACTTTTTTGTGTATCTGAGGTGTATCCTTGTTCTGCAGAAGTATACGTATTTCTTGTGGGAATTCTTAAACTGTGGTGTATAAGTGTTTGAGAAGCCTGAATTTACATTTTCTTTGAACACAGATAATTCTTAAGTGCATTAACCCCCACATCAGTAATGTAGTTGGCTTATCTGTGTCCATCCTACCACCTAGGAATATTGGTGCATAGTTTTTATTTTTATCCTATGTTTTTGGACTTCTCAGAGTCTGGTTCCATGTACTTGTGACTGTTTCGTTAACAGCTATTATTCATTAAACTACTAAATAGACTCTTGTAAACATCCATTATCAGCCATGCTTTTATTTGTATAATCTCAAGCTTTCTGAATTTGGAAGAGCAACTCAAAGTATTCAGAAAATCAGAGGATACTTAATGCTCTTTAATTACAGAGGAATAATGTATTTTCTGAATCATATACCAACATTTTATTTATTATTTGTATTAAAGTGTTTGACATGCTGTAATTAACCACTGGATGTCACTCTTGCTTAACTTAGATGTTGGTGGCTGCAGATGTGTGGTAATGCTGCTCAGGTGTATTAATATTGTAAATATTCATCTCAGACATCTTCAGAACTGTGTTCACTTTTGGAAGATGATGGGCAAGCATGGCAGTTGTACATTTATTAATCCCGAAGAATCATAAATTCCGTCAGTGAAAAATTAACAGAAAAATTGTTTGACATTTGCTTTAGGGTCCTAAAAGTCATACACAGTCTATCTAATAGTTAAGTGAAGCTGAGCTTTCTCCAAGGCAGGACACAAAGCTAAAGTGCAGCAGAGAATTCAGTAGTGCAAATCTGCACATGCACAGCTCAGGCATGTGTAGGTTCAGCATTTCCCAGAAGCACACGGCTGATACTCGAGTAAATCCTTGCTCATTCCAGAACAGACTCGTTTCCTGGGGGCAGCTCGAGATTGGTTGTTGGAAAGATAAATTGTTCTGGCATCAAAGGCTTCTGAACCATCAATCTTCTTCCAGAGGACAACAATGGACTTAACTGTGCACATGCAGAACACTGAGTCCTAAATGGGGTGTGACACATGGGGAAAAGGGCAATTAGGAATCCTGCTTCTGGTGCAGTCTGCATCTTCTTAAGAAGCTCTGAATAGTCCTGTGGAGGTTGAAGGGCATATTACTACATGAGTAAAGCATTTTGTTATTATAAAATGTGAAAGGATAATTACACAAACTTGTCTATTATACTTACTCAGCTGTGAAATTTTACATGGCTATGAGGTAGTATCTCTGATCAGAGGCTATGAAGTAGTATCTCTAGTCAGACTATAAATTCTTTTTGAAAGTAACTAAATTCTTTTTTTAAAGTAACTAAATAGTATAAAGTTGCTTTTTCTTCCTCACGCTTTCCTTGCCTCCTTATTTTTCTAGCAGACTAGATGAAGAAGAGGAGCAGCTAGCTAGGAAGAGAGAAGAACGAAGACTACAGTCTCTTCAGAGGTAAGTTGACAGCTTGATATATAGCTGTACACTTCCTGGTGATGTAGGAGTATTCTGCCTTTCTAAGAAATACATGGAGTACTAAACAAAGAGGCATTGTGATGTTAGACATGACAGTGTCAGGTTTTTACAAAACAGCTTTATTGTGAGGCTGATGTACCTGATTAGGAGCTGTATTCCTGTAAATGAACAGAGGGCAAACAAGTTGATGCTCAGTGTGTCAGGTACTGTGAATGCTCATGTAGCATGCTCTGTGCATGACAAACATTATCCAAGCAGAGAACAGATGCAAATTTGTTTTCATAAACATCTGAATTTGTGAGCTGAAAGTGTCAGACTTAAATATGCCTGGAAGGGTAACAAACAGGTGTCCAAATTAAGAAATATGCTCACACACAGTTTCTTAGATAAGTTATATAAAATACTTTAAACGGATCAGAAAAAAAGGGGAATTTTCTACCTCTTAATCCAGTTATAACTAGTCACAGCACAGTAGGCTGAGTACTAATATGATCATTATGTTTCTCATATAATGCTTTTGTTTCTATTTAAAGAGAAGGGATCCAGTGAGGAATATCAACATCTTTTTGTATGCCAGAACCATGTGCCTTGTGGTGAAATGCACATCCTTAATTATGTAGTAATTCATTCAGTTAAGATAGCACTTACCTGTGTTTGTTATAGCAGACTTCTGACTAGGTGCATAACAGAGGATGCTTGTTCCATAGCCTTTCCGGATCACTGGGAGCAGACTGTGCTGCCAGAATGATTGCTGCAGCCTTACTTAGAGCAGCATTCCTCTTTCCCAGCTTGTCTCAGGAGTGTGTCTGTGAAACAGAAACTGTTTTAATTGCAGGAGAGAGCTTAGCAGCAACCCTGGGGTGTTTCCATGTTCTGAACACGCATACCTGTTGTGTGTGTGGCTGGGGGGCATGAGAAAACACAAGGAGTAGGCCACTTCCAGAACCTAGAGCACCTCACCCTACCCACTGCTTGCTTCCTGTAAGACCTCTGGAGGATAAATTGCTAGTAGCAAGCTGTAGAACAAATTAATATTCTCAACAACCCATTTTTGACAAGCAACCTGCAAAGGACAACACTGCCTAACACTGCCTTGTGCTGTGTAGTCCTTCCTTTCTGCTGTGAAGTTTACACATAGTTTATGAAAATAGCTGAATAGATGCTCAGATAAATATCATGAGAGGAAAATAGGCACAGCATTGACCTTGTATCTATCTGTTTTTTGTTCTTTTCTTGTCATCTTACATGTTGTTTTTTTTCTGTGGGATACAGCTACTTCAGATACGGCTGTTGATATCATTTGGCAATGGAAGGTGAACAGGACTAGCTTGAGCTTCATTTCATGGTTCTATTAGTGAGTGGTAAAAACAAAGTAAGGCGGCCCAAGTTCCATAGTGTTCCATGGATATATTTTTTGTGGAAGGTTTAAGATGACTGCAGCACTTTGTATTTTCTGTCTTCTCAGGTACATCAAAAAAGTCTGCTTTGTAAGTTTAATATTTGTTTGCATTAAAATTCAGTTAATTATGGATACTTTAGTGTCTCTTTGGAAGATGCCTGTTAAAAGGAAAAGTAAAGGTAATTATGTTTGCTCTCTGCTTGTCTACAGAAGGCTGAAACTAGCTGCCAGTTTACTGAGAGGGTTGAAAATCACTGGTGATAGTTTGAGTTTGCACTTACAGTGAGGAGCATTAAGAGAAGCATGTCCGGAGTTCAGATTTTTTACTTAAAACAGGTATCTTATTGCATAGCTTTAGTCCTTTATTTGACTTCATCTCTAACATGAAAAATAATTTTTAAGCATAGCGTTGAGTAATGAGTCTTCTTCTATACACTCAATTATTTACAGCTTCAAATACATGGTATATTTATATGTTAGATTTATATAATTTATAAATCACTATTTATTTTATAAGTTTATAAACAAATGCTAAACAATAAGATCCAGTACCAAGTATAAATTGATATTGGTAAGGAAGAACAAAGAGAGGCCAGGGAAAGAAAGGATGGCAGTTTATTTGTGAAGAACCAAGTATGGAAAATTATGTGAATTGTTAGTATTGAGAAAAATACTCCCTCAGCTCATGGGGACAGCTTGCATGAGAAGCCAAAACTTTAGCATCTATAATATGGAGTAATAGCAGTGGTGTTAAGAAACAGAACCAACTCAGAAGACTGAAGTGACTTGAGCTGATAATAAAGTGAGATGTGGGTGGTGCAGTAATTCTGGGCAGCTGATTCAGGGACTGCCTGTTCAGAGCTGTGTCTGGTTCTTCTGGGTTGATGTGTACCTAAGCCTTATTTACTGAACAATGACTTAGTCATGGGTGAAGTGATGCTGTCGTGGCTGTCTGTCAGAGTTTGAATGTTTCACTGATATTGGTAGTTTTACTCTTCAAATATAATTAGATGTTTGGTGGTTTGTTTTGAATAGCCTCAGGAAGTATCCTAAAGCCTTTCTGAGGTTTAAAGCCTACACAGCTTGGTTTTGCACCATCCCCTTCTTAAGCAGGTGCTTTCTGAATTCAGAACTGATTCACACTGACTGCTGAAGTACTGAACTTTCAGTAGCTGGAACTGCAGCAGTGAGTCTCTGTTACTTCAGACAGGATATGCAAAACAAGGAAGAAATGCCATTAGTACCAGCAGTAATAAGCCTGGCTTGAGGTCATGTGAAAACTGTACAGTAGAAAGGTTTAGCTTTACACTGGAGAAGGCTGCTTTAAGCAGAATTTCTCTATTCTCTTCCTGAGATCCCTTACCCTATATAATATCTTCCTCTTATGTAACACAGTAAGCAGAAATCCTGCTGTCAGGTTACCTCCAATAGGTAAATTTGTCTCCTCTTTTTCTGTTCTTTTCAATGTCTCAATCCTGACTTTGTTCTTCTACATGAATTTCATTACCCTGACTCTCCAGTTCCTCTTACTGCATTTTGGCCAGCTTGCTTTATTTGCTATGCTCCCTGGGCTTAGTAATGCAGAGGGATATAATGAACATGGGTATCTCTGGGAAACAGTAGTGGAAGGTTTTGAGTCTCTGTCTCGTTTGGTTTTTCTCATCACGCTTTATCTGCATGCTTTTCCATGAAGTGCAATTGCTGGAAAAGGCCAGTTCAACCCTCAGCTCTGAAGGAAGCAGGATAATTGCTTCTGAGGACACACAAGATCTGATTAGCAGTAGGAATTGTTTGGAGGTGGAATATGCATAGGGCAGATGGGATCTTCGGTGAAATAAGCTGTCAGTGCTTAACAGCTTTCTGCTGAATATGTGCAAATTGGAATCAGGCAAAAGTCACAACTTGTCTAACTGGGTTGGATTTTGACAGAGGGTAACAAAGGGTTTATTTTTTTAATGTTTGTTTGTTTTTTGTTTTTTTAGAGGAACAACTTTTTTGCCAAATTCTATGTCTTTTCCTCAAGGTATATAGATCCTGGATCATACACTTGAAGCAGTTGTGTAGGAGGTTTTATGCTTGTTTTTTAAACTAAGCAAAATAGATCCTTCCTTTGTAATATAGGAAAACTATCTGAGAAATTACGGAACTTTTTCCACTTAAACATCTTTCATTTTTCCCCCCTTCACATTTGCAAAATGGAAGGAGAAATCAACTCATCAGAGACTTGGTTTATGTGAATAATTTAAGTTTGACATTATCAGATACAGCCTTGAAAATGGTCTTATGGTCAGACAACATAAAAACCAATTTATATTTAGCACAATATTTTAATTTATTCTCTGCATGGATGCCATTCAGCATTTTAGAAACCAGTGGTTTTCACTTTCACTTGCTGTACATCTTAAGCAAAATAGTACTACACATTTTTTTCCATTTAGGATTATTATAATTAATTAGTATTCTGAAGCGTGTTCTGTGCACAGCTAAATTTTACAATTATGCTTCCTGCTGGAAAGCATTGGGGAGTCTTCCAGTGTAGTGCCTTGCTTATGTATAGATGAACACCTCAGTGTGTGGAAGTGTGTATATATGTGGATAATTTACTTTTATATAGAAAGGATTTCTTATTGTTTATTGTAATACATCTTATGTTCGCACTATCAAGTAAGAATTCACACTATTAGTAGGAATTTATGGTAAGTCTTATACAGTGTATGTAGATACTTAGAGATGAAATGTAAATAGAAAAATTATGTATGTATGTAGCAGCTAAGTGGGATTTTTTTAAAAAAAATCGTAATGCAATTACTAATGCCAATGTAAAAGTACTGTTGTCCTTTTCGGATGTAATTATTGTTTGCTTACAGCTCAAAAGCATCTGAATGTTCTTCTGATGCCTTTATTTCTTGCAGGAAACACGAAAGAAAACTGAAGCATGATGAAATACGTAAGAAGTATGGTATGTGTCATTTTGTTTTGATATTAAGCCTAAGTTGATTCCTTTTCCCTAATTATTGTTAAAATTCACAGCAGAAATAAGCTGCTTTATGAGCAGCAGAAGTAATCAAGCCCAGTGTTCTGCTGATGCCTGTGTTTTGACACCTGATCTCGGCACATTTATTCTCCTGTTCTCTTTCTGCACTGATTGTCCAACTGGGCAAGAAGACAGTGTGCTTGGGACTGAACAGTGGTTCAGTCTGTCTCTTCCTAAGTAAGAGGACTGAGTTTGGGGGCTTTTTTGTTCGTTACTGAATGTGATAAATTAACCTACTTGATCTTTGCTACTGGAGCCATGCCTATTGAAGGAGGAGAGACTGACTAGTAGCTAGCAAGCTTTTTAAATCAAGCTTGAAAAAGAAGGGTGGAGGATGCAGCCTGATGCAGGGGTGAAATATTTTTTTCTTTGTTTTTAAGTGGAGCTGTGGTCTAGTTGTAGAAGAATATCACAAGACTGTAGGACCTGCTGTATTGTATAGGACGCTCTTATTATGTAGGCTTGTCAGTGCTTGCACTTTCCTTTTGATTTGTTCATAAGGTTAATAGTACTGTATATGCAGAGACAGAGCTGCTAAAACTTTGCTGCATTTTTTATTATGCAAATTGCACTAATGTCAGAGAAGGTGTTTCTAGGGGTCTGAACAGTCACTCGAAGCTGTTAATCGTCATCCTCTAGTTAAACTGATTGGCAGGGTCTAGGAATGCCTTCATGAATCTGCAGCCTGCCCTTTGCCTGATGCAGAAGTGTTACAGACAAACTCTAGGAAATTCTCTGCCTGGAGAATGTTTGTAAAAGAATGATCCTTTGCTGGAATGGAGGAGAACTGGAGAACTGCACTGTGAGACTGGAGCTGTAGGAGAAAGAATGTTGTAGAAACTGGAAGTAATTTTTGTTAAGCCTCAGTCATAGAAGTTGTTCTGTGATATTTTACAGGATAATTAACCCCGTATCTCAACCACAATTCAGTTTCAAGAGGTATTGTGAGTGGTTGACAACAATAGTCCAGATGTAAAAAAAGCAAACAAAATCCAACTCAGCACAGGCTTTTTGTGTTTGCTTCTCCGTAGAAGAGACCTCACTCAGAGTCAATCTCAGCAAGTTTGAATCACTGGGAAAGGTCTGATGAAGAACTTAGTGCAGTGGCTGTGTCCCCACAATAACTTGCAGCACTCAGTGCAGATGGACCTTTGCATCTTCTGGGTGCAGCCAGGATGCAGGTCCTGGATGCAGAATTGCAGTTCCCATATCAGAGCCCTGCGCTGGGGTTCGGTGATGTGAAAGTTGCATTTGGTTATGTTCTGCTTGTGAAACCAGTTCACTTGTCTCTGCATGGCCCTACATTTTACTGAAGACAATTGTCTGTTCAGTGCTTAACTTTCAGATCTTAGTGGAGTGCTTTGCTGGATCTTGTTAGAGTACTTGAGTTCCCTGAAATGTAAACCTGTAATGCAATGCCCCTGGAATACAGACATCAAATTCAGTAAATCAAGTTTTGCTTATAGCTATACTGTGCACACAGTCATAGAGAGCTAGAGTTTCATTTTGTCTCCTTTATCAATGATTTAATGAGAAACAAGTTCATATGTTCATTGTGTTACTGGAAGGTGTTCCTTCTTGTCAGACATACTCACTCCTGCCTGCACTTAGGTTTTGCAATGCAGCTTACCTGCACAAGATTGCAATTGGACTATAAAGCTTAAATTTTATTAGCAAACTTCTATATAAAGTTTATTGACAGGTTTGCTGTGTTGTCTGAGCAAAAATTAATTTATATTATCAGATATATCAATTTGAGGCCTGGAATCTCATGGTTAATTTTTGTCTTAAAGAAAAATCTTACTTTCACATAAACATAATTAGCACATCCTTAAAGGATGTTTGTAACTGAAGAAAAATAAAATAAAAAATATGTATAAATTTTGAAATCCAAAAATATAATTGCAGTTGAATATAAGGGTTGCATTCTGATAATAGACATATGATTGTCAGAATAATTCAGTGAGACACAGTAGACTTGAATCTTCTGTCCACATTTTTTACTGTCTAGAAAATACAGATGTTAGCATATTAAACATAATCTAATAAAAATTGCTGGAAATAATTATGAAGGCTCTAGATTATTTTGCACTTTTACACACTGCAGAGAGATTCTCAGTTAAGTAGGCATGAATGAGTGGCAGAATGACAATGACTTTGTTAACCTGACTGTAGATTAAGATGATGCTCAAAATTTCAGTATTTGGTTGGCTTTAAGGGAATGCCTTTTCCCATTTCATCCCCCAGCTTTCCATACCCCATTTAAATGGTAATTACACATTTATAATGCACTGCAGGTGTCACTCTAGCCACAATCCTTTGGGAGCATTGGAAGCAATGGAGAGCTTTAGCAACCAGGAGTACACAGTTTCAGTTGTTTCTTTGTTGCACAATTTGATAGTATTTTTCATTTGCTCACAAATATGAATGCAATATGATTACACAAATTATACGTTGACTCTTAGGAGAAATTTAAAGTAGAATTCAGAGTACTTTGCAGCTTGTGTAGTACACAAAGGAACTACAATTTAATTCCTGCTGCATTTGCTTCTATTGTGTGTTCAGTATAGCATTAGCGAGAAGCTGATTTATTATTTATTTATTTATTTATTTGAGGGTTTTGCCTGGTATTAGTGGCAGGATTTTTTTCATTTAATTTTTGCAAAATTATTATAATTTCATTGCTTTAGTTCTGCAAAGGTTTTGATTAGCTATTTTAATGATATGAAATCCTCCCTTGTTTATTTATGTAAGACATCGGTTTTTATATTCAGTAGTTTATGACAGTAAATGTTTCTTCTGTTGAAGGTAGATACTTGACCTTCTTTAGTGTTCTGAATGCAAGGCAGAAGAGCCTTGCATTGCCAAACACTGAAAGCTATTTAGTGAATACAGCTGTTAATCTGAGGGGCAAAAAATAAGGAGGAAAAGTTTAATAAGAGGTGAAGACATGCAGCAAACTAGTTTTTGGGGTTTTTTTTTTGTTTTCAGCTATACACAATCTCTTGTAGGTATTTCACTTGTTAATTCTGTTTGTGGCCGATGATATGGGATGAGAGATCTCAATGACTACGTATCTGCATAGTTAGATTGTATACAGTATAAATTGTATACTGGATAATGCTGGAAAGAGGTATTAATTTCTCTTGACCATTGCTCTGTCATTTCATATTTATTAAGATTCTTCATTATTTCATACAAGCTAATGAAAGATACTGGACTACTGTACCTTTCAAATTTTTGAGTGTTTCTTAGATACTGCTAAGTAGGTTAAGTCCTAACCTCAAAATGAGGATAAATGGAAGTAAGAACTTTTAAGTGACTTCTGTGCCAATATTCAAGTTCACTAGTGACATGTAATGGACTTGATTGCAAACAAGGCTCCTGAAGATACAAACATCTGGTTTCCCTGAACCCCTGAGGGTAAATGACAACTTGGGTAGTGGCTCTCATGATGACAGGAAACAGTTGAGAGACAGCTCCTGTCTGGTTCATGGCAGCACAAGAGCTTCAGCTGAACCAAGTGTGCTGCCCTATTAGCATGGGCCGCCAGCTCCTCTGAGTGGCACTGGCAGAGCAGCTGTGGCAGGCAGCTGACAGAAGCTTTTTGTCATGCCTCTTTTTTTGAATGTCTCTCCAAATAGTTGTTGTCCACTTACTGGAGCCTGATACTTCCTCAATAAGAGTTAGTGCAAGTGATGAGCTGCTGTCTCACTCCTCTTACTTAATGTATGTAATCTTACAATGAACTTAAAATGCTGAAGGTAAAAGAAATTTAAATGCTGGATGCAGGTTTGAGAGCAAGGCTGAAAGGTGAATGTATCAAGTATTGTAACCCCTGGTTATCCTCATTTTGAAGGAGGGCTTACCATTTCTCTTGGAGTCCCTTTTTCCTGGGAGATCACTTTCTGAAGTCAGAGCCAATAGTATTCACATTGGATTGGCCCATAGTTCTTAAAGCCTATTTAGTTTCAGTATTCTGTGATGAAGCAGATGAGAGTACTTTAAGTTAGGCATACTAATGCCTGATTGGTGGTGATTAGATCTGTTCATTCTTAAACATAATTTAGTAAAATTAAAGTAAATACTACTGGGAATGGCATTTGCAGTGAGGAGTAAAAATGGCACATTCACTTGAAATATGAGGATTAGTTTTCTAAAATGGATTTTAGCTGAGTGTTTTGGGGCAGGGGAAAAGTATATTCACTCAGAATCATATAGGAAAGGTTTATCAGGAGTCTTACACAATCCTCTCATTAATTTGAAATTGGCACTACTGGATGTAGAAAATATTTTCCATTTGGTTTCATCTTTTTGAACTGTAAAAAACAATACCTGCTGTTTTACTGTGTTACTTTCAGACCTCTGAAGTGTTGAGTATGTGTCCTGAATGAAATATCAAAAAAAATATAGTAAGCACTTGCCAGACTCTACAGAGAAAAGTTTACAGGCTGTGTTCATTTTGTCAGGAATATGATACCACCTCTTGCCACTTTGTGGAAAGCTTTTGGAAGTTAGGTACATTTATTTATAAATGGAACTTAATGAGTGCAGGGAGTTTATGCAATGGCAATTGTAATAATAGTGGTAATTTCTAGCATTGAAGCTGATTTTCAGTAAAGGTTGTGTAAATGTGTTTTGTATTTCAAAGGGGAGAGGTACAGAAGTACTGCATTTTTATTTTTATTTTTTTAATTGGACTACTCAGTTGTGTTTTAGGCAACTAAATATATTAGGAGCCATATATCCTTACTGCCAAAGTACTAACAAGTCTGGAGGAAGGGTGAGGGTGGTGATGATCTGGGAGTAAAATAAATACGTCTGCTCTCTTTGGGTTGGGGTTAAATTAATGCAGGAAAATTACCTGAAGGCACTGAAGGTTGAATAGCAGGCCAAGGATAAGAGGGTTTTTTTTAAATTGTGTATTAGTTTGCTTCACATCTAGAATAAACTTAGTGGACATCACAACTGTTTGTTTAAATGCATGAAAGGTAAGATTAAAATTTGGGAAGTAACCATTCTTTAGAAGTTCAAAAATATAAAAATTTCAAAATCAAAAAAATCAAAAAATATGGTAGATTATTTTTGAAAATTATATCATCTAAGCATATTCTTATTAAACAAATGCTTAAATTTTAATTTTTTTTTTCAAAAACAATTATAGAAAGGGATAGTACCTCTGATACAAGGTACTGCACCAGGTAAATAGACTGTATGTCATGATACATGGCTGAAGCTTTATAAATGTTACTGGAATATTCCTTGGACAAGTAAGGGTCATTATATATGAGGAATAATTTTGTTATTAACATTTTACAAGTTTACCGCACGTAATCTTGTTTATATGAGAGATTATAGGACTTTTCATATTATTCTTTATTCCAAATATTTGATGTTCCTTATCAGGTGGTTAGTTGCAGTAACTGATACAGTAATCAGCACTGAGCAGTTGTGCAGCTTGACTGGCATCTTAAAATAACCTGGCAGTTCAAATGAAACTCACCAACTGCACAAGGTAGTCAATAGTGTAGTCTGCCTACAGCAGCCTTAGGTTTTCACTTTCAGATAAAACAGTGAATGTTCACCATCCGTGTGTAGTTACATGTGGAAAACAGGTATGGTGTGAAAAGGACTGAGAGGAGTTCTTACAAGGTTTGGCAGTGGCTAGAAAAATTTTTTTTTGTCATTTTTGTGAATCTGAACGTTTATGATTTGGAGTTGCTCGCACTGTCTTCTGTCTCTATGCCTAGACAAATGAGCTAGAGAAGAGCCCTTGTCAGACATCAGTATAAAAATCTTGGCAGAAAAGATAGCGGTAGTGTCCTGTGCTTTCACAACATAAGGTCAGCCTCTGGACTCTTACAGGACTTCTTTATTTTCAGTCTTCTGCCTACCCCAGGTCTGAAGTGTGGTTTAAAGTCTCTGAAATAGTTTCTGTGTGGAACAGCAATTGCTCAGCTAATCCATACAGAGGATGCTGTGCATATCCAGGCACTCAGCATAATTGGATGGCTTTGCAGCACTTTCTGTGACAGTATTCTAGTATAAAGTCATTAAGAATCTTTGTGAAGGAAATATACTGCACCTTGGATTAAGTGATGCTCTTGTTCTGGTCCCTGGAGGTTTTAGTGCACATAAGAAGTGATCTTCATTTTTTCTTAGAGATTATTGTCCTGTTGCAGAAAAGCTGGCTGAATGTGACAGATGGTTGGGTATAATTGAAGTAGAACTAAGTCAAAGTAGCAGTATCTTACATTTTAAAAGGATGATGATCTTATAGTCACTTGCATTTATAAACTGGCCACTTGGAGTCTGTTCTTCTTGAGACCTCTCTATACTTAGTTTTTTGTCAACTTGACTCTCACAAGTGCATTTTTGGGGTATACCTCACAAAAGAGAAAGGTGTTTTCCATGATATTTTTTCATAGGAAAATGTTCTCTCCCTGCTAAATCACAAAATACTTATACATGATTATAGTCTGGGAAGTAAGCGTGCTTAACACTTCTAATTTATTATAATACTTGAGTGTTCAGATAATAGAGCACCTATTACAAGAATTGGCTTTTGGATTTGTTACATGCAGTACCTGTTGCAGTGAAGTCAGTAACTCAAAGCTTTTCAGTAATAAGAAAATGGTAAATGTGGTTCCATTTTGTTTTGCAGGTCTTCTCCAGGATTCTGATAACCCCTACAGCAGATTTGAGAATGAATAAAGATGAGAACCTTCCACAAGAGCTGTAACTGCAGAATCCAGGAAGACAGTTTGTTTTCATTTGCCTTTTGTGCTCTTTTGCTTTTGTTTTCTTCTATCTAAAGTGTTTTTTTCTGGTTGTAAAACTAGAAGCAGCTAAAGACTTTCTGAAATAACATGTTTCTATCTCCTGTGTGTGTAAAACTACTTTTTTTATAAACGGTTTTTGTTGTTGAAATGTTTGCTGAAGTTTGTTGGTTATCTTTCCTCTTCTTAAATCTGTATTTTATTACTTGACTTAGATGGCTAATAGTCACAATAGTGTGTTTGAGTTCAGTCTTAACTGCCACTTCAAGTAGTTGTTCTCATGTTGTTCTCTCCTCCTAAATAGAGATTTTATACATACATATATATATATGTGTGTGTGTGTCTAAACAAAAAGCAACATGGAAACACAGTTCCACATAGCAGAAATAGCTGATGAAAAATAAATCATGTGCATTCTTGTGGGTGGAGGTTTTTTTTTGCCTAGAAAAAGATCTTCCAAGAGTGTAATGTGTAAAGGTTGACAGTGAAGAGCATAGTTGTCTTTGAATAATTAAATTCAGTTGTGAGAATGTTAGTCTGTACTTTGGATATAGCACTAATGTGAAAAAGAAGCCAGTTAGCAAAATAGGAGAAAGGTTGATCTTGAAACAAACAGTTATTTGTTCCTAAATTTAAGAAACATCAGTCTTTGTGAATAGTTTCTTCTGCAAACTTAATGTATATTGGAAAAAAAAAAGTATAAAGTTGCCAGGATTCTGCATTTTACCAGGACTGACCCTGGCCAGCTGCTACCCGGCTGCTTCCCCCCTCCCTTGGAGGCCTGTGGGAGAGAATGGGAACAGCAAAGGGTTGCAATAAAGGCACAGTAAGTGAAGGAAAGGAGGAAAGGAGGATATTGGGAACACAGTCTGCAAAGGCAATTGCCACCTCCCAGAAGCAGACCATTTCCCAGTCCCCCCTCCATTTTTCTTGGTGAGCCTGGAATGGGGTCAGTTTGGGTTTATTATGGCAAACTGCTTCCTCTCCTAGCTTCTTGCTCACCCCTGGCCTAGTTGCTGAAACAGGCAGAGTGGGGGAAAAAATGAAATCTTGATGCTGTTCAAGCAATGCTCAGCAAAAGCCAAAGCACTGGGGTGTTACCAGCACCATTCTTGCCACAAATCCAAAGCAAAGCAGCACCGTAAGGGCTGCTATGAGGAAAGTTACCTCAGTCCCTGCCAGAGCCAATACAGTAAGAAGGCAGTATTTTTGTAAATCTTTTATTGTTATTTTGATATTTCCATAATGTGATTTATTTCCTGTCTTTGTTTTCATAGAGATGTTTTCTTGAGCACTTTTAGTTGCTTACCAGTATGATGTGACAAGCAAAGAGCTCTTCTGTCCCCCCATTTATTCTGTACACTTTAAATCATCTCCCTTGCTGTTGGTTATCTGTTAAACAAATGTATGGTATTGAAGATATTTGTGTTATTTTTGTCCACATTCCTAAAATAAACTCTTTAACATCTTGAATATGATTCTGTTTACTTTTGTTGTTCCATACCATTTGAAATTAACATGATTTAAAAGAAATTACCAAGTACAACTTTGGTGAAGGAAAAAGATGTATTTTTGCTGGAGGTGTGTGGCAGGAATTAGATCATGCCTGTAGGTGAGGATGTGAATTGCCATTCCTCGTAGTGTCAAAGAACTTGCCTCTGCTTAGGTTCAGTAAATAACATTTATCACTGGTTTTGGTACACTGTTCTTTCACTGGCTTTAGCTCTGCAAACCATTTCTACATAGTTTCTCAGGAATTTATATAAAAATAGCTTTCCCACTTTCTGAAACTATACTGTAATTAGTGTTAATGAAATACTGGTCTGTTTTTTCTTTTTCCTTTTTTCTTTAACTCCTATTTAGCACATTATTAGTAGGCACTGTATTTAATTTCATGTTTATCTGTCAGCCATTGTCAAATTTGAAGTATTATTCAAATGCCTGTCTTAGAAGAATGATGGTCTGTGATAAGAGTGAGTTGATAGTGTGGAAATGAAACATGCTATTGTTTTCCCTGGAGATAACTTTTGCAAAAATGATGAAGGTCTGTCTGCTGTCTCATGACCAAGTAGTGACATTCCTGACTTAATAGAAAAGCATTTTTCTTCAGCACCTGCTACAATATATGAAGGGCTGTCATGTATTCTATCTAAAAGGGGAGGAGGGACAACCTTTGTTACCATTTCAAAGATGGTAAAGTACTCGGAGAACCAAAATATTTTGAAAAAAGGGAACAGGGGAATTGGCATTACTAAGTCAAAGTTGTGGACATAAAAAACTTAACAACTGTGGTCAAATTTACTTCATGTTAAGCCTTAAGTTCAGTCTGTAGTTTACACAAAATGTTAAGCTGGACATCAAATATGGTATATTTTGCTTATACAGTTAAGACTATTAATTCAATGAAACTATTGTGGACACCAGCCTTAGAGCTTAATAGAAAATGCAAAAATCCTCATAAAATCCCCAGACTGTTCAGATTATTTAACCTTCCTTTTCTGTGTTCATTGGAGCAAATAATTGGATGGGAAATACCATTATTTCATTATATTAATTACCTTCTCTGCTTTTCTGTATGTCACTCTTTCTTTCTTTGGCTTTCCATGAGAAGTGTTACTTGGCTTTGTATTTCAGTGTTCACATTCACAAGTAATTGGGAAAGCAGCTGTAGAAAGAGGTATCATTGTATCTTTGTTTCTCAGGTGTATGAACAAGCGTATCCTTCCTTGTGAGCTTCCTCTCCTCCACACTTTTTCAACAAAAGAAACAGAAGGTATGCAATATAATAACAAAAGCAGGGAAACAGCATAACCTAGGCCTGAAAGCTGTATCTTTATTGTGTTTTTCTGATTTCCCCTTCATTCACAATCTATTCCCTTTCCTCTGTATTTACACTTTTCATAGTTATTGCTTGTGAGTTTTAGTAGTGAAGGTATTGCTGTTGGAAAAGAAGAGCAGTCTGGGAAATAAAAAAAACCTAAAATTTGTCTTCATCTTTCCACAGAATAGAGCTCCCAGTACTCAAAACTCAAGTGGGACAGGTTTAAGAGTGATACTGCTGGATGTACTTTATGTAAGTGAAGAAAATTTTAGTAGATTGAAGCATATTGTTTTAACTTGTCTTAATGCAAGAGCTTTTTTGCCACTTCAGAAATCTTGGCTTTGATGATGACTCCATTTAGTTGTCTGTACCATGTCTTTCTTAATTGTTTTTTGATTATTAAGTAGATGTACAAATACTAATTATGGAAAATGGTCAGTTATTTTTTTCTTAGGGTGTCTTTGTTTCAGACTCCCATACATAGATTTCACCATGTATTCTTTCAAAGTTTCTTGTTATGCCAAGCAGGTGCACAAGGAGTGGCTCTGGGCTGTGTGCCCAGAGCTTGCAACCCTAGGGTGCCCCAGCTGAGCTGCTGAACATGCAGTTCTCTAAATTTGAGCTGGTCCAGAGAGAAGTGGGGCAGAAACACTTAGGATGCTCTTCTTGCTGACTTTCTGGGTGTCAGAAGCTAAACAGGAAAAGAGAGGATGAAAGACACTTTGAGAAGAAATGATGGGGAGAGGGTAGTCCATAGTCTGGGGAGACAGTGAAGTTGACAACAATTGCATGTGGCTGTTCCCACAGTGCCTGCCTGAATCTGGGCTTTATTATCTTTGGTTTCAGGGTTCTAATCAGCCAGCATCTCTGACTGCCCCTGTGCTTCAAATCATGAATTGGGGAGGTTACATGAGTGGAAGCTTTTCAAAGCTCACATAGGCCCTCATCTTTCCAAATGCAGCAGGGCCAAGCTTGCTTTTGATTGATTTATCCTTTCTGTGGGTGGTAGAAGGGCAGAGAGGAAGGAACTTGTCAAAAGTATGTAGAAGGTGGCATGTCAGGACTGAAGTAAAAATATCTCCAGAGTATTCCTAAAGTTGTGTTTCTGCTTGCTGGCACTTGACAGAATCCTCTGAGACCATTCCTCAAAAGCTTCTTCACCCAAAGCTTAAAAAAACAGGGTCATGATTCTGATACTTTCAAACAACATTGAAAACCTTTATTAATTTTAATGCCTTCACATGGTTAATAATATCTGGCTGAGCAAATACATTTAGTCTTTATTGTGGCATCATTAAGGCTTTGGAATTGGCATGAGGATCATATTTGTTTAAATATGTAGAAATGTACATTGGCTTTCAAGCCCAGAGCTCTATTTCATCAACTCAGCGTTAGTTTCCTAGCTAGGTCTTGTCATGTGTGAGTTCAAGTATGTTCTCAAAAACACACCTTAGTTATCAAGAAAAACAAACTGTTTTCTTTTCTGATGTTCCTACAAGAAATGCTAAATGTCAGAGATGAGAATAAAATTTTGAAGCCATAGTGAAGTGGTGAAGGCAAGGATCTGTGCAAGTAGTGAATGAGCCAAACCATCCACAAACGGTAAGAGTGGTGCGTTTTGACGGGAGACAGAAGGGAAATAGTGGAAAAACACTACAGCAGTGATCAACAGTTGGTGTTCTCTTTTGCACAACTTTGATGAGATTTGCATTTTTTTATTTTGTTATGTGCTGTCATCTTTAATAGAAATGAAAAAATGCAACAACTTTGTATTGCTACATCAGAAATTCCCAGGTTGATTCACTTGTGGCATCAATAACATGGCTTAGTGTTTGTTTATAGGAAGGCTGTCTGAAAATCACACGCTTTCCTTTTTCCTACCTTACGTAGTTTACAGAGAAAATACTTAGTGATGTCTTAAATGAGCTTCCAGAAAGCGAGAAGGTCAGAAGGTAAGTCTAGACCTAAAGAAATCTGCAAGTGGATTTCAGCAGCTTAACAATTTATCAGTTTTCTGACTGAATGTCTCGACCATCAGTATGTATTATTAATCAAATGGAGTGACTTTTCTCTTGCTGATATAGCAATTGCTTTTAAACAAGAAGTAATAGAGGGCAGAGTTTTTGAGCTGTCACTTCGAGTCAAGTGCTGGTGTGGCAGATAAATGGGTGATAGACTAAGCAAAGTCACTTTGAGAACCCTGTAAGCTTGAATCTGTTTGTGTATTAACATGCTGAAGTAAGATGCAGGAAGAAGATAAAGATATTTACAGCTGGTCCAGAGACTTGGCTGTTGCTTGTTCTTGTTTTTTTTTTTATTTTTAATTTGACCTTCAGTCCAATCTCTGCAAGGGATTGTCAAGTAGCAGCATGGCAAAAAGGATTAGGAAATGTTTAATTACCCAAGTTGATGTGGATTTTCATACCACTGTTTCTGTCACAGTTACTAAACTCAATACTTCTCTGACCTGCATCCCAAGGGCAGCCTCTCATATACTCCTAATGGTCACCTGGCTTGAAATTGTATCTGGCCCCTGGTGTTCTCAGACCAGCCCTAGTTACTCATTTCCCATGTATCAATTCAGGAATCACACACACATACCACTCTTGCCCTCAAGGAGAGTCCTTTATGTTCCCATTACTTTCTTTCATTATTTTTTTCCTTTTTATGAGCATCACAATTCTTGTTACCAGATGACCTAAGTTCTCAGTCCTGGCAAAAGAGGGTTTGCAACATTTCAAGGTGGTAATTTCCACAATGACTATTTTGCCTCAGCAGTTTAATACTGCTTTCTTCTTCGCATATGTTCTTGAAACTCCAATAACCTAGATCATTACGGTGTGAATCCAGATCAGTTACACTGGACAATTGAGCCTGCTGTGGAGAAGAGTCAGCATGGAATCTGCAAAGGGAAATCCTGCCTCCCAGACCTCCTGGGTTGTTAAGAAGGTGACAGTGAGCACACAGGGAAAATGCATTTGACACCTAAAAATTTTTTTTTACCACCACTGAGTAGCTTATTTTAAAAAAGATGGTTTGTAGCAGAGCTGAGATTGTTGCAACAGACCAGTGCAGTGCTTTGATGATTTATTTGAGGAGCACATGGCCAGAGCCAGCAGATAAAAGGCTCAACCTCAGTATGGCTACATTGCTTTCATTGCAGTTGCAAAGCAAGAGGAAGCACGTGAAATTTGCATGGCACAGTTTTGTCCTGGCTGCATTTCTGGGCAAGCTGTGAAGAGAAGGCTTGTTCAGGCTACCCACAGATGCAACATCATGTGCTGAGTGGGCTTCTGACTGAGTTTGTGGTCTGGAAAAACATTTCCATTCTTCAATACTAGCCAACAGCAATCAGATGTGGTGGATTAGGAGGGACAAATTCCTTCTGGGTTTTAGTCCTCGTGGTCTTGGTGATATCTCAGAGTTTTCCCTCAAGGGTTACTGTTTGTCTGATGCAATTTTTGCAAAGATACAAATGTCAGCACAGCAGTGTCATCCTCCTGAGTGTCTGTTGCTGCTGCAAGGGAGCTTCACACCTGAAAAACAAAGAATAAAGACATTCAGAGGGTGTTGTTTTAATCATTTTAAACAGACTGAACATCTGTCCTGGGTTGCTGAAGACATGACTAGCTGCTGCTCTGAGTAGCTCCTG